GCTGCAACCTTAATCTCCTTAGCTCAAGCAATCCTCCTGCCTCAGCCTCCTGGGTAGCTGAGACTATCGGCATGCACCACCACACCTAATTTATTTTTATTTTTTAGTAGAAATGAGGTGCTGCTGTGTTGCCCAGGCTGGTCTAACTCCTGAGCTTGTGATCTTCCTGTCTCAGCCTCCCAAAGTGTCGGATTACAGGCGTGAGCCACTGTGCTGGGCTCTTGCCCTTTTAAAAAATATTTACTTGTTTATTTATTTTGAGATGGAATCTCGCTCTGTTGCCCAGGCTGCAGTACAGTGGCACAATCTCAGCTCACTGCAACCTCTGCTTCCCGGGTTCAAGTGATTCTCCTGCCTCAGCCTCATGAATATCTGGGATCACATGCATGCACCACCATGCCTGGTTAATTTTTGTATTTTTAGTAGAGACAGGGATTCACCATGTTAGCCAGGCTAGTCTCAAACTTCTGACCTCAAGTCATCTGCCCGCCTCAGCCTCCCAAAGTGCTGGGATTATAGGCATGAGCCACTGCGCCCAGCCCTATTTATTTTTTAAGCTGGGGTCTCACCCTGTCACCCAGGCTACAGTGCAGTGGCGTAATCATAGTTCACTGTAACCTCAAATTCCTGGACTCAAGCAATCGTCCTGCCTTTGCCTCCTCCATAGCCAGGACTAGAGGTGCACTCCACTATGCCCAGCTGATTTTTTTTTTTAATTTTGTATAGACAGGGTCTCACTACGTTGCCCAGACTGGTCTTGGACTCCTGGCCTCAAGTGGTCCTCCTGCCTCAGCCTCCCTAAGTGCTGGGATTAGAGGGGTGAGCCTTGGCACCTGCCCCTGCCCTCCTTTTGAAGCCCTACAGCTCCACCCAACAGAGGTGCCATCAGGGCTTCTCATTGAATAAGCCCACATTGAGCATCACTGAATATCAGGCCTGCTCAAGTCTGTAGCTTAGAGTTTGTGTCTAGATTGGGCAGGGACAAGATGGAGTATCTGGCTGAGTCTACAATCAGCAGGTTGTGGGCCAGGACTGGCTCCCTGTCCCACCTTGCTCCATATCCACAGGTGACAACCAGGGCATCCCCATCATGTCCAGCATCAAGCTGAAAGAGGAGCAGCGCATAACGACGACCTCCCCTTGGATGTTTCCCTCTCGCATGGCATGGCCTGAGGACCATGTGTTCATTTCCACACCCAGCTTCAACTACACAGGCCGGGACTTCCAGCGCTTCTTTGCAGACCTCCACTTTGAGGAAGGCTGGTACATGTGGCTGCAGTCACGTGACCTCCTGGCAGGACTCCCAGCACCTGGCGTGGAAGTATACTGTCTTTACGGCGTGGGCCTGCCCACACCCCGCACTTATATCTACGACCACGGCTTCCCCTACACAGACCCTGTGGGTGAGCTCTATGAGGATGGTGATGACACGGTAGCCACGCGCAGCACTGAGCTCTGTGGCCTCTGGCGGGGCCGCCAGTCACAGCCTGTGCACCTGCTGCCCCTGCACGGGATACAGCACCTCAACATGGTCTTCAGCAACCAGACCCTGGAGCACATCAATGCCATCCTGCTGGGTGCCTACCGCCAGGATCCCCCTGTGTCCCCGATGGTCATGACCAGCCCAGAGCCCCCACCCCCTGAATAAAGACTTTCCTTTCCTGCTGTAAGCCCTGATGTGTATGTTGTGAGTTGAAGGGAGGCACTAGAGTCCCACACCAGGTTTCACTCGTCACCAGCCACAGGTCAGTGCGGAGTGAGGCAAGATGGGCTCAGCTGCGGCCTGGGACTGAGCTGGGCACCCTAGATGTACAGCTGTCCACTCTCCTGGTCAAGCTTTTGAGGCAGCATGCACCATGCCTGCCTCTGTGCTGGGCATGGGGACTGGAGCTGGCTGCACCCACAGTCCTGTGAGAGGAGTACAGGGAGGGGGTGATTTGAGCTGTCCTCCAAGCTCCCAAAAGGACAGGTGAGACAGGGCCTTTTGAGTGGTGGGTGACTGACAGGGCCGAAAGAGTTTAGAGGCCGGGTATGGTGGTTCACGCCTATAATCCCAGCACTTTGGGAGGCCAAGGCAGGCAGATCACCTGAAGTCAGGAGTTCGAGACCAGCCTGGCCAACATGGTAGAACCCCACCTCTACTAAAATACGAAACACCTGCCAGGCGTGGTGGGACACACCTGTAGTCCCAGCTACTCAGGAGGCTCAGGCACGAGAATCGTTTGAACCTGGGAGGCGGAGGTTACTGTGAGCCAAGATCGTGTCATTACACTTTAGTCTGGGTGACAGAGCAAGACTCTGTCTTAAGAAAGACTGGGTCTCAAAAAAAAAAGTTTAGAATTAGAATCTGAGAATGACAACCATTATTAGTCAGATCATTTCACTAATGAAAGTTTAATTAGTATGAAGCTAAGTGCTCTGAGAAAAGTTTAGGGAGCAGAAAAAATAAAAATAAGAAAAGTTTAGGGAGCAAAAGAGGCTGAGTCTTTCAGGTCAGCAAAGGCTTCCCAGAGGCGGTGGTGCCTACACTGAGGTCATAGGGATGAGAACAGTAATGGACCACTGTAAAGACAAGTTTGACTTGACTGAGCCCAGGAGTTCGAGACCAGCCCGGGCAATATCGTGAGGTCCCATCTCTACAAAAAAT